GAGGGGGGGAGGTCGAGTTGAGAGCTTCCCCGAGAGGAGCTCGCCACAAAGTCTCAGCGATTCTCGGGCTGATCGCCAGGAATCTCCGCCAAGAGAAAAAGGGTTCTCGGAAGGAGAAGAAGACCTGCCGCGCTGGCTGCGCTTTCCGCGGAGGGGCGAGAGACACGGTTTGCCAAATCGCGTGTATGAGAGTCAATTGAGTAATGTCTAACTACGTCTATGATGTAGCCGGTTATTTTCGCGAGGCAAGTCCCACGTCTGATCCGCGACTCCCTTTGCCTCGTCCGAAAAATTTTTTTTCCAATGATGCCTTTAATAACTATACCGTATAGATATTACGAGTATATAGATCTATCTATATCTCCTTTCTACCTCAAGATTTAAAATATCATAATTTTTTTATGAGTTTAGTTTCTATGATACGCGGAAGAGAAGCCAATCATCTCGTTTCCGTAAGAGGGATCACTTCCGTCTATCTATTACCTCGTAAATTAAACTCGGCGAAATTATACCGGTTTTCAATCGCAAGCTGTACCTTGGAGTACTCGCGATGAGAAAATTGCGAGGAAATGTATAAGAATAATATTCATGTAGCTTATGTGCATACAAATAACTTCATTAATGAAACTGTTCTGGGTTAAGTCTCGGGATAAAACAGCAATTCCGCGGAGTCCCTGAAAGTTCACATGATACGTACGTCTAATAGCTAATTTAGCGGTAAAAAAATACTCTGCAAAAATAGAGCGTGTGTTGAAAACAACTTAACGACTTGTCTCTCGCGTCGCAAGCAGCGTTTAACGGTTAATGACTATTGTCGATGAGACTTATCGCAGATGGTTTGTTCGCCGGTTTGTTTTTATATTCGCAAACGTAACGCGGAGTCAGAAAAAAAAACACAACAGCTCGCGAGAGAACAAGCCATCAAGCGGATGTTTACGTAGCGAAATGATGAATGTTGGATAATCGTCGGTATTAATATTAATATCACTTTGCGTTTTTCTTGCGACGATTGCGCAAAGAATGTCAAGTAAAATAGCCAATAAAATTGCTAATAAAATGTAATGTGACCATTGAAATATTGCCTCTGGACAAACACTCGACACCGCGACGGGCTTTCGTGAATCAATTAATCACATATGGATTTCTCCTGGTGATCTTTATCTCTCGAGGGGGGTAGGGGAAGCTACGAGGAAGGTACATCCTCGAGCGACGCGCGGGATCTCGTTGAGATCCCTGTCGAAAAGTATCGAGTAAATTTTCTCGAGTGCTCGGACTACTCTCTCGATCTTCGGCTACACCACGTGCGGCTAACTGACATTGAGTAATTTGTTATTTCCGCCGAGTTCGGCCTCTCTCTCGCGGTAACGAACGCCGGACCATCATGTAATAATAGATCGGTCGAGGCACCAGCTTCCTTAATGAGTCTTTCGGTTATTAAATGTACATTGATCGGTTATCTATAATCGAAAGCCCACGTGTCGCCGCCTGGTCGATTTAATCGCGACGTTGACGGAAAATGAGCGGAAACGCCCTCGCCTTGTTTACTTCCGCAATTGTTGCCGAAAATAAACTCAATTCCGCACCCGAGGAAGAAAAGTGAGTCGGGAATACATAAAAGAAATATGATAAATGTTGCTAAGTGTAAAACGCGAAACAACTCTTTGATCTTTTGCAGCACGCAAGAAGAAAAAGAACGGGAAGTAAGAACATTACGCATAAATTTACGTATAGAACATATATACGTCACGACTAAATTAAATTAAATGGTACCGTATAGTTTCTGCAAAACAAAATAATAACATAATAATAATTGACATTTATTTTCGCAAGAAATATTGTATGAGGAAAATATATTTCTTCGTTTCCTTTCCTTATTTATAAACTCGCGGTATTTATTGACTGCTCTATAGGTACATTCATTTGAATAAGAATCCCGCAAAATTCGGTTACACCGACTCCAATGGGCTAACTTTAATACACCAGGGACCGGTATATTCCTACCAATGGGCAAACCTTTTCCATAATGTACGTACAACAATAATAATAATAATAATAGTAGTCAGCCGCAGGCGCGCGCTCTCTTAAGCCGTCGATTAATCATTCCGCGGCGATGATTCTAGGCCCGGTAAGCGCATTTATCCGTGCCCGTTCCGTTTCGCCTGTGTTTACTTGTGCCGAGTATCGCTCGGGTGAAATCGACCGCGATCGACGATCGTTCGAAGACAGGCGTGTATATGTTAATACGCCCCGATGTAACTGTCTCTGTGGTGTTTTTCAATTGTAATCTGATTAGGAACGATAACGATTCGAACGAGTCGCGGCGCGCGAGGCGAAACGCGCCTTGACGGGTGCGTTTCGTCACGTATACACGGTGTTGTTCCGTTGTCGTCTTACGATAGTTCCTTTTCCTCTCCTTGCGAGACAGTTATAACGCAACGGGGGATGCGCAACATGACGTGCGTGTGTCCCATTTGCGCGCTTATACGTCCGGTGTGGGGCGTCGTTTAATATTCCTCCTGGCGAAAGCCGGCGCCAAAGTGAAAAGATTGAAAAGTCTCTCTCTCTCGCGGTGCGTGTGCGCACGCGTGCGCGCGCGCGGGTTGGCGACCCATTACAAGGTCGACCACATCATTGTGGGACAAATTATGCCTGCATTTGTGTTGACTCGTGTCATAACTGCTTACCACTTTCAGTCCGTTCTGCGACCAGTGGCAACTGCAAAGTCAAACCGCACAGTTATTTAAATGGCATCTACTTACTGACTACGTTAGTATTTATTATCGCGTCGTTTCAATATTTATATATATGTCGAATGCATAATATCACCAATTAAAAGTATCGATGAGACAGTTTCCCGGAAATATTTTTCGCAACACCAACAAACAGCGCCGCGATAACGCGGCGTAGACAATGTATTGATGTATTAGCAACGCTTTAATGACTAACGGCCGCGACGTGCACATGACAGTAATGCGCCTTATGAAATGAACTTGTTATCGATGAGAAGCGTTGAGAAACTGCGAGATTCTTCTGAAAAACAGGAGAAACGGCTATCTATCGCTCCCCTGCGAAAGTTCTCGTATATCATCAGATTTTCAGAATTTAATTTGCATATAGCATCCGAATGGTTCCCGCATCGAGCTGTTTGGAGCTCTCCGTAGAGTTTTATTGTGAATTCGTAGTCGCAATTGCAATTTCGTTTCTCTCCGCGTGCCGCGGATGTGTACGTGTAAGAAAGCCGAATGAGCGCGTTGTGCGCGAGGAAGTTTTTACACGTATTGCGGAAGTGGTGGTGCTGCGGGAAAACGATTCGAGGGCGAATGAACAATTCGCGCATTTGCGTGAAACGAATCTCTCGCGGCGCTGGTGGACAAAGAATTCGAGCTGACTAATCGGCCTCCATGCACGAGAAGACCATTGCCACTTCGAATTGCGGGCACGTGCGCCAACTCGCGATATGTATATGACAAACGACTGTTTACCCTACTGTTTACCTCGAAGCATTTGTTGAAACGATCCGCAATGTGACTGCGTCAGCGATCGATCGATTACCAGAAACTCTTTCGACCGGCGGAAGTGCGGCTAATAAGTTCGACAGGCGGAATATTTATAATGGATGAGTTGATTTCAATATCGCAAGAGAAAAACTGGTAAACAGGAACTATAAATATTAACAGGCTTGTATCTATAGTAAATTGCATTAGACGATAAAACGTGACTCAAGTCGCGTACAGTCACGTCCGCTTATTTTCCAACGATGAATTATTGTAAGTCGAGAAATGTTTGCATGTTTATTAGAATTACGTTAGGAAGTATTAAAGAAAAAAAAAACCTGGAAAAACCTCGCACGGAATTATCGTAATAGGCAATGTCTGATCTGTGAATTTTCAAGTCTCGCGTGACGGCGGGTGCGCGAAAAGCTATCCGTGATATTTTTTTTTTTAACGATGTCAATCATTTGCGCTCAATTGCGCTCCGCGGCAGCGAGTTCTCGCGCAATGCCTTTTGCCTGTGACTTACAATTAAACGTGCACATAATAATTCCGCATTGGTGTGTACTGTTTGTTCGACCCGATCGATTAAGGAGCAATCACACGTTGCAGAGTATAACACGGTCATTAAGCGCGATACTCTATGTAGCGTGTCCAGTGTACTGAGCCGTAATTTATGCCGATATCTATCTAGGTGCCTATATCTCTCGCGAGACGTGTATACAAAGGCACATATATGAGGTGATGTATTAATCAGCAGTAGTTCAAGACGAACCGTTGAATGATGCAACGCAAACACCTGATTGCGTGGATCGCTTTCGGATGATCCGGAAACCCACTCCCACCCCCCCCTCCCCGCATATTTGTGCACATGTCGTAAACGCAATTATGCAATTAATATTACGATTAACGCACCTAAACGCCCTTTGTGCGTATTAGTGTGATTAACGCTGTTTATCGGCGAACTGACGTTACAGGCTGCGAGAAATATGTATATATATATATTTTTTTTTTTTACATGCTATGTAAAATATTCGTGGTGTTATGTGAAGCGTAGGTGAATAGGTTGACTGTCGGTGAATGTCGGTACTTTCTAATGTCGAAAACTTAGCGAGGCCCGAGGCCCGTGCGAACAAATAACGGGCTAGGACCAAACAACATGATTGGGCCCGGCCAATTATTGCGTGGATACTAATGCGAAGAGACAGATTCTTTTTACCTGAAAACCCGCCACGACAAGTGTAATTCGAAAGCCGAATACATTTCTTGCGTTTCGAGGAGAAGCACGCGAACGCTGATCGCGCTCTCACGAAAATAGTATTCTTAATAAATTTCTTAATAAATAAATACAAAAATCAGTTTTCTTGCAATTCTTTCTTGAACTAACATTAAACATTTTGAAATGTTCAATCGATTGCTGTTGCATCTATCGATTCTATATATCTCTAAATATCTACTGTATATCTACGGGACGCTTTTGTTTACAACGGTATGTTTTGATTGTTGCAGACGCATGTCCTGTTGATGGATGCTTTCCTACAGAACAACAGGCTGGATCATGTTTCCAGAGTAATGTCCTCGCATCCAACGTATCTGGAGCATTTCCTACGGACCCAGCATTTCATCCTTCGCGGTGACGGTCCACTTCCTTACGACTACAGACACCTCATTGCCATTATGGTAAATACTTGTTTTCTATTTTGTAAGCTGCATTTGGTACATCTGAGGTACAAACAGGGAACTTTTTATGTCTTATGAATTGATTTTTAAACAAATTTTTTCTTGCGACTTTTATTGCGTTTTTTACGTTGCATTTAATTCAACAATCTTAGGAAAGGTAACTGGAACGATTGAAAGATGCGTACTATCGTAAACTTTAAAATTTTATTTTGTTTATTATAGAAACTTTATTTTAATAATCTGTAGGATTTGAGACAAAAGACATTTCCTTTTTTTTTTTAAGAAGCTCTTTCGTTGAAAGCATTTTTTTCGTTAATTGTTCAGTTTTATTAAATATAAATTTTCATGCACGTAGAAAATTGTTGCTCATGAAGCTAAGCTCTTCTTCGCGAGATGATGATGTGTCCTCATCTTTTCTCTTAAGTTCCCTGATCACCCTCGACAAGCGACAGCGGGTCACCGGGTCAAAGGTTATCGCAAATCGAGTAAATGCAGCGCGCGTGTATTTCGTAATGCCGCACATGTTCTCGTGAAAAGCAATTGGTGAAGATATGAAAAATAACGTTGACTATTCCTTTATGATCTTTACTCTACGATCTACGCAACCGTTTACTTTACTTTTAGCTATTTTTGTATCAAAACATGCCATTTGTTGTATGAAATTATATAACCTTCTCTCTCTCTCTCTCTCTCTCTCTCTCTCTCTGAACATGCAAGAACGTAAACGTGTTAGAATTCATCTTGAAAACGTCATATTTCCAATAATCGCAACCGCGTTGTATTATAATTAAGACATAAATTTGAAAGAGACGTTCGACGGCGAGATAAATGTTTTGTTTTTCAATTAAGGTAGGTTTTTATTAGTTTCTTCGGATGATTTAATTTTTAAATAACGGAAGCTTGCGCAAGCGCATAAGTCTTTTGTGGACTATAAATAACGTAGGAGAATGTTCAATCGACGTTTTGCATGTAAGAATCGGGCAAGCCCATATTTTTAAATAAATGAGTCATTTATCATTCAATGCTCAGAATAAAGATTCGTGCGAGAAACAGGCTTGTCTAGATAACGCGCGCGCAGGCAGAGAGATAAAATTGATTTGCCGGTTTCACTTCGCATCGTAAGAACAAATTCGCGCAATGTGCTCGAAAATTATTACAAAAATAAAATGCATCTTCGAGATTGCACGATTTTCATGAGCCTCTCTGAAAAAAAAACGTCGGATATTTTGTACAATCTCAAAATATTTTCAGCGTGTATTCGAGTATTTTTTCTGCGATATTCGTGAAAGCGAACCTGTCTGTTTTCCACAGTCAGCTTTCAATTGAATTTGAAGCGAGTTTATTAGATATCCTGCCTCCCCCCCTTTTTTTAGCTCGCGTTTTCATTCCTTGTAAAATTAAGACGGCTTGTCAGAGAAACCCGTTTCTCGAGTTAAGATCTTACTTCTTCTCGGGGAGGCCAGCTGGCATTAGCTAATGCATAGTTGGCGATTGAATGTATATTTCCGTAAATGCATACACGAGGTATAAAACCAGTGAGAAACTATACGGTGTTGTTAGATACGGCGGCGATATAAGCGCGAGAGCAGGTATGCAGATTCCTGCAAACTGGTTTACTCTGAATTGTCGAGTTAACGGCTGTTTGACGAGCATTCGCGCCCGCAGCCGACTTTGTTTATTGCAAAATCCCAGACTGCAGACTGTAAAACTGCTATCTGTACAGGATACAATATCGAGGTTACAGCTTCCGCCTTTGAATGATACGCAGCCCGCGATCGGATGTCGTTGTGAGCCATTGCACGAGCTTGATCTTATACTCAGTTGATAATTTAAACAATTCGCAAACACATTAGACAGATTTTATTTATTACTTCCTTGAGAGAGAGAGAGAGAGAGAGAGAGAGAGAGAGAGAGAGAGAGAGAGAGACTCGAGATCCGAGAACTTTACATTATTCAAATATTCAATAAAAATAATTAATGTCGCGATATTAATAATAATTATTAATTCGATCTAAATTTATTATACTATTTATTATACATTTTTAATTGTCGCACCTTTCGCGCCTTTTTCACGCAATCTCGGGACTCGATCTTCTAGCAATCTCAGTTTGATAACTCGAGAAGCACATCGGTAGGCCGGCGTGATACACGAAATATCATCGCGACATATACGATCGATCGAGAGGTATTTTATCTCGCAGAACGGTGAAGTGCGGACAAGGACGAAGTAAATTGTTAGACGGTACACGCGGATGAGTGTGATAAAATGATAAGGTATCTGAAAAACAGCTTTTCTGGTAAACATTGTGCTCGGTGCGCGTAGACTCGCAGAATTCCTTGGATACGATTTGCGACCATTGCGGATTGTTCGTCATCGAAAATTGCCACTGGGAAAATCAACCGTATCTCAACATAAAAATCTCAACAAAAGGATTTATTAATAAAAAATTATATGAGAAATAGTTAATATTTAAAATACGTTAAGATTTGAAGATATAAATAATAACTAAATACAGTTGATTCATCTTTTGTTGATTTATTCTAGTACTATTATTAACTATTTAATAGTTACATGATTTCGTTAATCGTTATCTGAACAAGATAAATCGAGCTCATGTAGAATAAATTATAAGAAATATACAGGAGTGTCTTTCAAGATAAATATCAATTGCTATCGTGAATCGCCTCACATTCGCGTTTCTTCTAACTCCAATGCAAGAATAAAATTGTTACTATTATTAACGTTTGACAACATTGATTATCATATCTCAATTATTTTAATAAGCTTAATAGCTGTCCATGTATAATATATTCCAAAGTCAATAAGCACGGCGGAAAAACGATAATCTAAATATTACGAGGAGCAAATTGCATCGATGTACGATTACGCCTTGGAAACTTTATGCCAACGGTATATTATTTGCGACTCAGAAAAGAAACCAAACATGCTTTTTGCAAAAGTACCTCGAGATTGCATTTACATTTATTGTACGGGTAACATATCGGAATATCGATATCGCGATGTCGAACGTGAGATGTTATAAACGCGCGCGATTTTCTACCGATTGTCGTCCGCACATATTGTTATTCTTGTCGTCGCGATAACGCACTACTTTCAGCATTTTTTTTTATCACCTTCCCAATCCCCGCTCGATAATTCCCGATGGTAAAAAAAAAAACAGAGATCGCGGTATCGCCCGCTGGCAAATTTCTGTGTGTCGATCACGATAATTACAATCCGTTAATCCCTGAACGTGATTGTCGCGCGAAACGATAAGTAATACAAATTTCCGTAATTGACGAATTGGCGTTAGTCTTGATCGATTGCTGATCGGTGCGATAATATAATAGACGCTGACACATCTCGATTTTTCTCTTTTTCCACGGCGATCAGATTGGCGAACGCGTGAAATTATTAATGAGGGAGGCAAAAAGTACGTCGCGTTTCCCAGGGAAGATCCTGGCTATAAGATTCTTAAGGGAGGCGAAAATGTATTTGCGAACTCTCCTCTTATCGTGACTCTGAAATCGATCGATTTACCGTTCTCACGGCAAACACATGTCTTGTTTGCGTATACCTCATCGCAATCCGCGTTCCCTCACTCTCTTCTTTCACCGTCGTCATATATCTCTCTCTCTCTCTCTCTCCTTCATTTCGTCTTTTTTTCTCACTCGCGCTCGCTCTTCCGCTCCCCTTTACCGTGGTATTACCATGTCCTGTCACGATGATCGATCGTCTCTGTCAGGATCGTGCTGCATCCGACGCCCACGTGAGATTCCCCGGTTCGCGAAATGACGAGTCGGGGGTGCTAAACTGACGCGTTTCATACCCGCGGGGCTTTGCAAAGTTAGTCACGCGGGAATAAATAGATCGCCGCCGAGTTCACGTTAGGTAATTTAAACCTCAAATAACAGTCGCCCACGCGAAACTCGTGTTACATTTGCAAAAATAGATTTTTTTCCTCTTTCTTTTTCCCCCGGCGGAGTAACTAAACGCGTCATTAAGTTGAATTTTCCATTTATTAACGTCTGTTTCCTCATGCAGTACGCTGCAACGTGAAACTGTTAGCGTATTTAAAACGGTAAATGCCCGTCAGTGTTGAACTCATATAAACTCTTCCTGCATGTATATATTTTCAATGGTACTTCTAACGCGCGTTATTTCATCATTGATATTGATGGTTTTATTATTGCCTTTAACCACGCTCGTGGAACACGAATTCTCTCGGTTAAAATCCCTCCGCTATTAATTATAAGACCGATAACGCGAAAATCTATGGACGACTCATCTGGGATTATTCATCGCGGGAGGAGGGGTCGGGAGGAGGAGGAGGAGAAGGGGAGGATTGAGCGTAGTGCATATATCCTTGAAACGGATGTTGCTGTTCGTCACGTGGTGGAAATGATCGTGCGCGTGATAACGCGCGCGATATTGGCGGCCGCGACCTCTCGTGCAATTTTGCGCTCCGATGCATCATCACGTCGCCGTCAATTCGCCTATCGCCGGTCGAAATTTGTTATTGAAAAACGGCATACGGCAAGCCGCCCGCTCCCGCAGCCTTGTCCCCCCCTCCCCCTCCCCTTTCCCCTCCCACCCATTCCCCCGCAAAAATCGAGCCAATAACTCCGAAGCTCGTCCTCGAAAATTTTGTGGGACGGGAAACCCCGCCGCCGTTTATCGCGCGCGCGAGATGCGCGATACCGCACACGGACGCGCGCGCGCGCAAATACACGCGTGCTTCGACGGCAATAATGCACGCGACGCCCATCCCGGGGCACTCTCAATACGCGAATAGAAATTCCTCGCGGGACGAAATTGCTTTCGGGCGCGCGCGCGTGCACGCTTCGTGCAATCGTTTTTATCCGCCCTTATTTCCCTACGGGTAGTATCTTATCGACGGGCATTATCTGCAAGCTAATTCCTGCAGGCCTGTGTATATATCTGCACTTATTGTGATGTACGGCCTGGAGGTGAGCGCGCGCGATAATCGAGATTACCGAGAGGCCTGCACCGTCGAAGCTTATAACGGCCATAAATTAGTTGATTTATCATGCATATAGCGCGGGGTGCGCATTGATTTAGACTGTAATTATATTACATCATTATCGTTGCGCGACGTTTTGAAAAACGTCTGAGGCGCGGTTTCGTATGTACGCGGAACGTTTGTATCGCGCATATGGATCTCGTCCCTTTAAACGTGCGCATTTCAATTGCGCTTTATCAATCAATTAACGGTACGCGCCCCGGAGTTACAGCCCCTTTCGGGAGAACGAGCGAATTTATGCGATGCCTTTTAACGACGTACGATTTAAACGGACAATAATCCCTAGTGGAGCGTAAGGGGGAGACGATTACGCTTAGAAACGCCTTTCTGAGGGCGGCATTCATTGAGGGTCGCGGATGATACGAGTGAGATAAAGATCGTACGGGAAACAGGTTTGGAGATTTATCTCTATGTAATTTTCAGGCTGCGGGCAGGCACCAATGTAGCTACCTTATAAACCTGCAGAAGAGGGAGTTCCTTCTTCAGGGCGGTGACTCCTCGTGGCTCCAGGGCCTGAGATCGATCCCGGGGAAGCTGCAAGATCTCTACGAGATCAACAAGATTCTAGCCCATAGACCGTGGCTCCTGAATAAGTCGCACATAGAGGTAAGCGCGCATTCGGGATTCGGGATTCGCATGTATAGAATCCAAATGATGGTTCGCGAGGAACGTTGGCGGAGTGCAATACTGGAGCGGCTCTGTATTTCCAGAAATTGACCAAAGGAGACGATAATTGGTCCTTAGCGGAGGTCGTCCATGCGATAGTCCTATTAGCTCACTTCCACTCGTTATCGTCTTTCGTATTTTCTTGCGGAATTAACGAGGAATTGGATAACATAACTGGCCATCACTACAAGGAGAACATCCAGGCCAATAGTGGTAACATACCGCCTGCCAAAGACAAGCTCACGAGCAGCCCTAAAAAGATCCCCAACGGAGACGGCAAGACTGGTACGTAGTTTACCTATCAATATTGCAAATAACGTCGCTTCGTATAACGCGATGTGATTATAAATTAGTATAAAATTAGATAAAATTAGATATCAATACATATATACATACATTCGCTTTTTCGTATACGTTTATAATGTTAATAAAAAATATTATGTAACTCTACAGATTGAAATTACACAAAAAATATGTGATTTACAGAAAATATGCCGTCACCGCCGTCGTCGCCGAGCATAGTCGGCGAGCAGGAGGTCGGAGTGGAGACCCTGATGGAACGTATGAAGCGCCTCTCGGAAAAGTCCGAGTCCTATCAGATCACGCAGGAGGAGCTCTCCAAGAGATTCGAGACTGTCGAGTCGCAATCGGCCGAGCTGGCGGCGGCGCCGCAGAGGAGCAGCTCGGTCCTCGACTCCGATATCGGTCTATTCATCGAGGATCCCACTTTCATCTACCAGGATTTCGCCAAGGTGAGCCTCTCTCACGACGATCAGTTTCTTTTTTTTTTTCTTTACTGCGCTCGCGTAACTGCGAAAAAGTCCGCAATTGTATCTTAATTGGGCTCATCCATTTATGTTGATAACGTCAATGTTACCCGCGCGACCCTCATGTTATTCAATAACGCGCGGCGATGATTCCTGGCGCGCGCGCGTCCGCTGTTTTTGTAACGTCTAGTTAAGTAGTGTGTAATGGATTAGAGCCGAAAGACGATATTCCAAGGTAGCGTGTGGCTCATCCATGAATATTTAAGCCCGGCTGCCTCGGCTCCGCGCGTATACGGGCGCTTACGGCTGCGCTCGCGTAACTACTATGAATATTTACCGCGCGACGACGTTGTGTATTGGCTGACTTAAGATAGGCTACGAAGGCGGGGCACACACAGTCACACACAGCGCCGGCGGCTTACGCCACGCGTTAATGCGCGAGGTAATAAAAAAAAAAAAAGTCGCTTCGCCGGTTGCTACCCGTAGTATATATACTTCCTTCGTTTCGCAACGTAATTCTTTACGTCGTCCGCGAGACATTTTTTTGTCGATGCAACGTTCTCCTCCCGTCTCTCGGCGTCCTCTTCTTTGTTTGTTTTTTTTACTCACGCTATGTATTGTTTTCTTTCCAGCGCGGTCAGCTGAACGACATACCGACCTTCCGCGTCCAGGATTACTCCTGGGACGATCACGGTTACTCCTTGGTGAATCGTCTGTACAACGACGTCGGCAATCTCCTCGACGACAAATTCAAGACCGCGTACAATCTGACGTACTACACCATGGGCACGCACAACAAGGTCGACACGTCGCGCTTCAGACGGGCGATCTGGAACTACATACAGTGTATGTTCGGCATCAGGCACGACGATTACGATTACAACGAGGTGAATCAATTGCTCGAGCGTAGCCTCAAAACCTTCATCAAGAGCGCCGTTTGCTATCCGGAGCGCGTCACAAAGAGGGATTACGATCGCGTCATGAGGGAGTTCAAACACAGTGAAAAGGTAGGTAGAAATGTCTCTCTTTCAAATTGATCAAATCTAATCCAACTTAATTAAATTAATCTCCTTTATTGAGAAATAAAGGAGATCGCATCTTTATAATGATTCTTTAAAGATAAACGATGTAATTCTTTTAAAAATAAATTATTTTAATCAAGATACATACGATTCCTTTGATAGTGCAATAAGGTTGCGTTTCCCACTTGGGAACGAATCTTGTGGAAATTTAAATGAACAGCGCTTTATGTAAATAAGTTTAAAACGTGTTAAATATAAAATACTTGGCACTGTTCGGCTGAAAATAACTGCTACCAGTCTCGCGATAGAAAGTCAAGATTAGCTCGCACGAAACGCATTATGCATTTGGAATTAGCCGGTTAACGTCTGTGATAAGAAGCGTTTTATCATGATGAAACGAAAGGGACATAAAAATTTATTCTCGCATGAACTGCGACGAAGAAACGAATGTTGGACGTTGCTAAATATTGCCCTTTCCTCCCCTTTGTTTTCCAGGTCCACGTGAACCTGATGATTCTAGAGGCTCGCATGCAAGCGGAACTGCTGTATGCCCTTCGTGCCGTGATGCGGTATATGACCTAAAGCGAAGCTCCGCGTCGCTCCCTCGTTTGTCTGCTGTCTGTCAGTCTGCAGTTTGTCGATTTGTTTTCTCGCGCCACGCTCCCATGCCCGTAGACTTCGCGGACGTCTCATGCCCGCGCGCGGGCAATAGAAGGAGCACACAGGGCGAGCGCGCGATATCATCGAGTCTTATATACAGAAAAAAAAAACATCACACAACACAACATGCACGCGCTATCATAAAGGCCGCTTCGCCGTCGACTCGTGAATCGCGGCGATAGCGAGCAAAACGAGTCGCGAGTACTTCAGCGAGCGCTGAAAAAGGCGATAATGGAGAGGAGCAAGAGGAAGAAGAGGGGGATGCTGTGGTGGGGAAGAGGATTGTAATATTTGGCCATTCAGCTGCGCTCTCGGCGCGATTCCTTCCGATCGGCGCCTCAACGACGAGGCCAACGTGGCGTTCCTCGTGCGGCTCATCCAACAACACACGTCGATTGCGCACGTTCCGTCTATTCGCGTAACAAAGTATATATATATATATATATATTTGATGGCGAGGAATGGAGTGCTTCTCCGCGGGTATACGCGAGGAGATCGTGAAGGAGGAGCTCGTAAAAACGGAGGAAGAAAATTGTGCGAACAGACAGGGGAGACATGACAAGAAGAGGAAAGATTTATAATTTGTTTTGTACATAGACACTTGTATTTTTCTACGTTCGACATCGTAGCAGACTGTTATTTGTGCGTTTCGTTTACGTTTCAGATCTGTTTAAAAAAAAAAAAGTTTGCTCTCGCCTTAGAAGCTTTCGAGTCGCGCTTTTAACTTCACACGTTACACACACACACACACACACACACACACATACACACATACGTACACAATATACGCCCTTCTTATTGCGTTTGCAATTTCGAACTTAATGCGCGATTCGCCGAGGAAAAACGCATTCGCCGCAACGCGCACTCATCCATCGAGCAGGAGAAAAAAAAAAATTCGTAGCTCCGCGCGGACATTTCGTTTCTTCTTTTGTGCCGGACCCGGCTTGTTGAGAGAGGTGGAGAAAAAAAATTAATCGTAAGGCTAAATTAAGAAAATCTATTAACTCTAATTCCGTCACCGCGATCTTATCCGGACCCTTGCCTCGGATCCGATATGACCCGACTTCTTTCCGAGTTCTCGTTCCCCTGCGGATGACGTGCGCCCGCCCCGAGTTATCGGAACGTCGGATCCTCTCGCGTGCGAACGCAACGTCGCGTCGTCGCGAACGTCGGAGAACCGAGAGAGATCGTCTTTCGCGCTGTGTATATATATATGTATATGTATGTAATGCGTTTTATCTTCGTTTCATTTTCGACGATCCCTAGCCCGTAGAGGAAAAAGAAAAAAACAAACAAACGACCCGTGAAAGAGCTAACGTAAAATTGTATCTACTTATTCATCATACGCGTGTGTCGAGCAAACCTTAGACTGTAGGACGATCCGCGGCCGCGTGCATGCGCGCTTGCAGATTTTGTGTGTCACGGGCACACGCGACCGCGGAGAGAAGCAATGCCTATCGGCTGTGTTTATTTACCGAGGAAATGACGCGCCGCTGTCGTTTAGCCGAACGCGAAGTGCGTCGTTGCAAATTCGCTTTGATCCATTTGCACCATCTTTTAAAAGCCTAGGCTGCTTTTTCCACCTTGAGATTAGCGATGAGAGAAGTCGCGCTCGCGTACGAGCTTCACACACGAGTGGGGGAGGGAAATTCATTTGGTGTGTCTCGAAAGTAAAGAAGACCGCTGTACCGATCTTCTTTCCGACTCTTGCACCGATGGCTTGCGCTTGAAGAAAGCGGGGAGGACGAAAGTGTAGGCTTGGAGAAACCGCGTGGTACGGGATTAGGCCCGAGTTCTGTGCGTGCGCTAAAGAAGAGAAGCCCCGACACCACGAGAACACCAATTTCTCGACGCCCGATATTTATGCGCGCGCGCGCGCGTGCGCGAGGGCGCTCATCAACGAATTTCGATGCCTTCGGCGTAGCGTTCTATAATAAAACACTATATAGAGAGGAGAGAAAAGAGAGAGATAGAGGCAGAGAAGGAGAGAGAGAATGAGAGAGAGAGAGAGAGAGAGAGAGAGAGAGAGAGAGAGAGAGCTTGATAAAGCGATAGAAATCGCGACGCACGGCTGACGGAGCCCTGTCCCTTCCTCGGCGATTGATTGCGATCGTGCGGGGACGCCGTTCGTTCGGTGTTTCAAAGTGTTGTGCGAGGAGAATCGAGGAGAGGCTGTTTAAACAAATCAAATTCTTATAATAGATTGTTAAGGTATATACAGAAACGACACACACAGATACACACAAAAAAACCGACACACGTACATACACATATACACGCGGAAAAGAACATGGCACAAAACTATCACACGCGAAATATACGTGTTCTGTGATCGCATATATCTATATATATGTATACACACATACACATAAAAAAGCGAATATATATATATATATGTATATATATATAGATACATATATAACGCATATTTACGATTAACTCGGCGAAAGAAAGGGAGGGAGAGAGCGAGAGAGAGAGAGAGAGAGAGAATGCGCGAGTGGCGAGTGCGAACGTATGCAGTGCGCTGCACGCTAACTGGAAGTTTGACGATTCTACCTGTAGCGTTTGTAATTAGGGTGTCTCTTTGTTATGTAACTGTGCTGCACGTGTGCGTGCGTATGCGCGGGCGCGATAATCGATTTATTTGCGTGCACGTTCAAGGACGTTGATAATCAGTACTTTGGAATGCGGGACTTGTTCTCCCGTGAACGTGTGATCCTTTGATCTCGATTCGGTGAACGATCGACTGTAAATGGCGCGCACAGTGAGCGAGAAAGATCCGCGCCAAGAAAATTGAAATTGGTGCAATTTCTGTAAATTTATAATTTACTCAGGTTCCGAGGGTTGCAAAAAAAAAAATAGAATAAAATTTTTATTTATCGTATATATGTAAATATAGAATATATTTAGTATATATTGAATTTATTCTATATAATACATATATGTATGTATATACATATACATATTATATAAAATTTTGTTTTAATATATATAACAAAGAGTAAATATTCTTTTTTTACGAAATAATGGAATTTTCATCGTGGTCCTACAAACACATCGTTAAAAATCTTGGTTTGGAAGTTTTTGTAATCCACACTTTTCTATACTTTAATCAATCGTCGCGAGTAAACATAGTGATAATTCTTATCTCTATGTCTGGATTTGTCGAGATTACACCGGTTTCGTTTCTTGGCCGTACTCATCTAGTCTTAAGTGACGCCGAATGACATTTCTCACTCCGGTAATGGGATTTGCGTTCCGAAGTGAAAACGAAGTCGTATTCCAAAATGTGATTAGCAAGCGTAAACGCACGTACGACGCACGCGGGAGCACGCGTGGATTCGTCCGAATGACGCGGAACCAAATGTGGATAGTAACAGCGAGACATTTCGACCAACAGAGCGACGCGTTTCCTTTTTTTTTCCCTAGGCGACGTCTCCACATATCACACCAAGAGTTTTAAGTAGAAAAAAAAAGAAACGTTTGCGTCGCTCGCAGTTCATCTCGCCGGAATGGAATTAGTCGAGTCGGCAGAACCAATAACCTTTTGGCGATTCGAACTTTTTCTCTCTTCGCTTTGTGTAACGTATTTTGCCGCTGTTTGCGCGTGGTGACAGAGGAAGGGTGGCGCGATTTTGCGACAAACGCTCGCAATTCGTCGTGCTAATGACAGTATTTTCAGTTTCTCTCTCTCTCTCTCTCTCTCTCTCTCTCTCTTTTTTAAATTATTTCATTTTAGGCTTTACTTCGTAAACTCTTTCTCTTCAGCTTCCTCTCTCTTTCATTTCTATTTATCTATTTATCTCTTTTGTTCTCGATGATTAATTTACGAACTTTATATACCGTCGTCAGAGATCAAAATTATTGGATTTGTATATCGTTTCGTAATTACATTCGCGACACGAGAACCCGCACAGTTGAAACCAAAGAATTATGCAAGAAGTACCATTGTGTGATCATTCGAATTCTAGTAATATATTATCCAAATCATCATCCAGCGTTAACAGGATTAGAAGAAAAAAAAAAACATATTCTACTCTGAACCGATCTGCAAATGTTCGAAATGTTTTACTCGCGAAATATTTTATGATATTTGATTGTCCCTTTACGTGTCCCGAGTATCGGTACAGAGTATATGTCCGGTAAACCAGATTCTTCGCGCGTTTAGTTTGTAAGCGTCACGATTTTCGGCATTCACGATTTTACGTAACTTCTTTTTTTTTTATTCCGCGTTAAGCGTACGTTGATATAGGATTTTTTCGATGCGTACACGTGTCCGGCGCGTCGTACCAGCCACCATTGAGTGAATGTTCGTTAATCATCGTAAATACCTACTCGTTCATGCGTTTTTTAGAATAGTTACCTCGCAACGTGTACGCTCTCAGAAACGAGTATACATCCTCGCCGAAGATCGCATCGGCAACACATCGAGAGCTGTGTTAATTTTTTCGAATTTTACATAAAACTAATAACAATGTGTTTTTAATACATTTGGTTACGTAAGAAGAAAGTAGATTTTACTTAAGATTTAACATGATCCGAGGGGAGCTACGTGCTAGGAAATCGTAGTTCTACTTTCCTTCTGTTCTTTCTAACGTTTTCCTTTATTCCTTTTTTTTTCACTTTTCTTCTTAAATTTCTATCTCGCAGCTTTTTCATATACTTATCGTTTGCATTATTTATTCAACGCTATCTAGTATTTTATTTTATTTTGTATAATAATGTGCCAGTCTTCTAAGTTTTTATTCTATCTTCAACTATCCTTTCGTTCTCGTCAATTTTCACATGGTTTATTTTACGATTAGCGAAAGAGAATAATGAAAACTTGATTGATGTAAGAGATGGCGGTAACGAATTGCAGCATATTCGCGATAATCGTATACGTGGATTGATCTCATAATATAATAATCGTGAGAGGGAGAGGGAGAGGGAGAGAGAGAGAGAGAGAGAGAGAGCGAGAAAGGGAAGCAAAAGAGAAAGGAGGAATACGCGCGAGGCTTGAAGAGAAAAAGAGAATCGTCGTTGTAACGAGACAGACAGAAGTTGTAACGTCTAACGACGTTCTGCTCCATATCTTTCTTCTTTGTTTTTTTTTTCTCTTGAAAATTGAGAAGTGCGAGAAATTCTCGCCGAAGCTGCACGCGAATGCCGCTGCGGCGAGCCACACATCAGAGCGGATTTATAATTTCGCGATAATTCTAAGGGGCACGGTAGAGAGGGAGAGAATGAAAAGAAGCAGGTAGAGTGAGAAAGGAGGTGTGGAAGAAATTCGAGATTTTGTACGTAGTGAGACGATTGAGCGGGCAAAAGCAGAGCGCGATCTGTGATTTTCTTTCACACATATAGCGAAACATCGTTGCAAACGTCCACGAGATGCGTCATGGACGCCTCTGTCACGGTATCATTATTTAAATATTTCCAACATTCAAAAAACTTTAGTTACTCAGACGTTCTCTTTAGCGGTTCGGGGTACATGCTCCGTGATCGTGCTCTGCTTTTCGCCTGACCTTTGTTCATTGCTGTTTCTCTCTTGGGCACGCGTGACAGAGCGAGGATTTCGAGTCGAGTTGACGCCTCGGTAAAGTGTATAGTGAGAATCCTGGAGGTGGACGAGCACAGAGAAAAAGAAAAATTGACGAAAAAGAGTAAGATAATATATGCGAACGTAAAGTAAAGAGTTTTAAAAGAATTTAAAATGAACATGTGTATATATATATATATATATATATATATATATATATATATGTATATGTATGTGTGAGTGTGTATGTATATATTTATATGTCGAATCGGCTCTAAACTCGTCCAGCTGTCTCGAGTCAGTTCAAGCTCCCAAAGAGAAGAGAGAAAGAGTGAATGAGCAAGCAAGAGAAAGAGAAAGAGAGAGAGAGAGAAAGAAGTGCACAAGCTGTGCACAGCCGAGAGAACGGTCCACCTCCGAAAGTCACAAAAAGCATATTAAAATAGTACATGCCACGTTATCGGGAATGATTGTGTGATAATTACAAGTGATTTGACTAGGCCCCCTTCCCCCACACTTTTGAACGATAATGCGGATTACTATCACTGAGGATGTTTTTTTCGATTGTACATCAACGGATCTCGGTGACCAGATTTCAGAGCGCTGAAAAGACGCGAGAAAAGACTTTCTCGTTTCACGCTCTAGATTTCAGACCTCGACCTGATCGAGAGACGCGGCTAAAAATTAAAAAAACACCCTTTGTAATAGCAATCCGTCAGTTTCACCGACGAGGAAGAGATTCCGAGATAAAGTTGAATCAGAAGGAATTCCTTGCTTGCGAAGCTCGCCGTAACATCTCGGTCATGTTGATTCGATTAAGCATCGCGGTCGAAGCCTAATCTTATCACGGGCCGGCGCGAGCCCGCGGATCTCTTTTACGAGACTCATTTAGGAATTCTCGCTGTTTTTTTTTTTTTTGCGTATTTCCCCGGCGATAAGCAGGTCGGTTCCGTCGTGTATCGCGTACGTACAAGACTCGAGCGGTCGCCGCCATATGCGCGGCCGGGGAAGGGGGTCGTATATGATGTGATTTCTTTTATATCATAACAAATAATGAACACTAAGAAATATTATAGTTTCATATAAGTGAGATATGTTATTTGTCATTTATTTTATCCCTTAATAAATGATGTTATATAAAAAAAGGTCAACAGTGGCGTTTTCTTGTGCATTCTCCATCTCGATATCCAAGAGCCTATCCACTCGCCGTTGCACTTTTGAAACGCACTATTCTTCAGAGTGATGATATCAGAAAAATGATTTCTGCAACATCGATTAGCTGGCTTTAATCTTATTAGTAGAAGGCGCTCTTGAAATTTATTTGTGATATTTAATCTTATTAGCTCGATCAATCTTAAATTGAAATAAAATTTACAATCTCCAAGATGAAAAACAAATCTATCGCAATATATTTTTCACTGATATAACTTCAATTATTTTTTTAAAATTGTCGATAGCTATTGCGATGCCTGAAGAGGATTACAGGATGAAGATAATGATCGTTCTCTCATCATACATTTATTCGCCGGCTATCAGCATATTACAGCACACGTTACATGACACCAAACGTCTAAGTTGTACTCGATTAGCGCTATAACGATTACTCACTTTCAGCCACATTTTTTTTTTTGCATAAAATAGTCCCATTACGAATCTCACTGCTGCTTCCTTCGCGCGGCACAATATTTACAGTAATACTTTGCGTGTACAATTACACCTTAGGCGGCCTCTCGGTAAAAAGTGAACGCATTTACAGAGCGTGTCTAAACAGTGTTTCTGTGCATGGATCGAACGTTATGGTCTCGTGAGAGTAGCACGAACGTTACTCGTTAGAGATACCGCTAATCGCCATCGTAGATAATTTGGATGATTTAATTCTACGAGCGCAGGACGGAAGGGTTGTTCATCGTCTTAGATTCAGCATACTACTCTCGTCTGATCGAACTGATGTCGAGTTAAATTAGAATTGGGACGTGAGAGTGCCATATAGATTCCTATATCTCGCGCTGATCGCTTCGCGACGATTGAAGACTCGATATAAAAAAAAAGAAACCCTATAGGCCGGAGATAAAAGATCTCGGGGGAAGCTATTTCACCAAATAAGTTTCACCTTCCTCGGAAACAACAGAAGAGTAGAGGAGAGTATGGGGAAAAAATATCCCTCTTCATTTTGTACATCGTAAATTGCGCTTAAAATGCTTCGCGTAGGATCTCGGCGTAGAATAATTTTTCAATGAAAACATAATTTCGGGGATAAAAAATTCACGATCCATTTATGTATTTAATTATTACGTTAAAATGTCGCGGGGCGAAATAGCATTAACTTTTTTTTTAAAGCACTTAACTCGTCGATCTCGATAACGATTAACGTCCATCTCGATCGCGTCGTAACGAAGAGAATTTTCCTTTCGCAAAGCCGAGAATTAATATGCATGCGAGCTGGTACGTAACTTTTTAATTTAAGATTTTTCTGCGGTATCCTGACAGTATTTAAATCACGGTACCACGAACGTATTTGAATACTTTCTAAAGTGGGCGAATAAAGCGGCCGGAACGCTCGCTACCTCGGGACGATTATACTTGTCCGGCGGATTGATTAATCGTACAAAACTCGCGGCTACGAGAAAAACCACTTTAGAGAGCCACGTTGTATCATTTTATCAATTAAGTTCGGTATATAGCGTCGATCTCTCACTCGACGGATTTTATCAAATGTGCGGAAAAGCGACGTACGCGTTGCTTTACAAATACAGTTTAAGCTCTTTTCTTCGTAATCGCGAACGTCGAAACGACGGAACATTTGTCTTTATTAATATTGTGCAAACATGCCTACCGTGAATTTCCGGCACTGGCGACGGAAATCTATCAACAAATCGGTCATAATTGCTTTTCGCGAGACGCTTTGTACTTGTTCTTGGTTTACGATTATAACGTTGTGGTGCTGGTCTTGCTAATAACGCCCGTCTAATTGCCGTCATACTCGTGCGGCGGTGCGTGATGATGCATGTGGATGTGTGGGGGCAGTTCGACTACGGGTACAGCCAGGTTGCTCCTCTGTAATACAATCACAGTTACGTAATGATTATATAGTAGTTACACGAGTGTAACATCGCAGCATTCGTGCAAATAACACGCCCGTTTGAAATTTATGGAATTCAAAATGTTGCAGACGATCTTTGCGGTCGGGATTTTTTTTTACACGTAATTTGACTAATGTCTCGAACCTCTCAAATAATCACTGTTATATTACAAAGTTATACTTTATTTCATTATTTAATATGTAACTCAATTTTTCAGCATATTTAATCTCCGTCGGTTATCGGCAATTTATGGAATTTTTACACGATTTTTCGATTTAACTTCAGCAGCTAATTGCTTAAAACGCTATAGTTAAGATTCAATTGGATTTCCGTCGATCCTTTAATCTCTTCAGTAAAACTGTTATCTTGCACCACCAAATCATTCGCAAGAAGAAATGAAGAGATAATATATTTCGTGCCCGTTTCCTGACGGGAAATAAATCCGCTTGCCAGATACACGTTAATTAAAGAACATTTGAATGCAATTATGGGTTTAATAAACGTAGGAGCATAAAAAGCTCGGTGAATGTAAAATATAATTAAATAACGATGTAACAGAGAGGGAGAGACTTATCCCTTGAATGAAATTACGATATATAAAATTGATTTCGGATAAAGCTTAAGCAACATCAATTTAATGGAGAAGCGAGGTTTTCATAGCAGTATTTACAGCCCGATCTTATCTAAGATTATTTGAAGCCTGGTCTTAGCCTTAAAACTCGATCGAGCCAATGAAACGACCGTAGGTATAGCATCTCAAGTTTGCAATTAAGACAATCTTAAATATAAAGATTTTGAATACCTTGGCCCCTGTAATCGTTCTTGAATCTCGACGTCTAAAAAGCATATCGTGTACGATATTACCTCAGATTGTAGATTTTATTTTTAGAGTTAAATGAATTTTCGCGATAAGCAGAACCGCAGAATAATTTTCGAGTAAAACTTTATATTTCTTAAGATATTTTGGCTAGACAACACAATTTTGGCTCCAACGGTCCAGATAAGTTTTTGTTTATAAAAGATATGTGTACATATATTTTACGATTAGAAAAACGAACTTATTAATTAACTCGAGTTAATAATCCGTGAGAACGTCGGCTTGTAGATTAATGATAACTAATGAGACAGCCGTTACCTGCGACCTCATCCCGTTCACGGGGGTGGCAGTGGGATTGTCCGGCGGGTAGCCGATCACGTGCGAAGAACATTTGTCGCAAGTACGCCGTCGTCGAGACGACGCGCGGCAGCGTAAGGCGCGGCAGAGCTCGCGTGCCATCTCCGAGCAAAGCGACTCTTGTTGATTCGGTGGCTGCTGATGTTGCTGCTGGCACTGTTGTTGTTGCTGCTGCTGCTGCTGCTGTTGCACAGCTTGAGAAATTCCCTGAAGAGAGCCGGAGGTAGGCGTCGTAGGGACCGGAAGCCTTTGCTACATCAGCAGCATCCACAACGACGAATTATTCGCGCGTGTTAATGACTCGAGTATTAAAAAGAAAATTCAGAGAAGGCGCATTTAAAATACATCGTGATGCGGGAGACATTCTAAAATTAGTGAGAAGTGAATAAGAATTATTCCTTAAATATTTTTCGAATTATAAACTACTGAAAAGATACAAAGGTGAAAATAAATAATGATATAAAGATATATTAATTATCCAATTTGTAAGAGAACTTTATTTTAATGGAATTATTATGTAATTTGACTAATTAAGAAAAAATGTCAAATTTTAAAATTTGTAAAAAAGATGTCGATCTTTTTCAAATATTTATTACATTAACTATAGATATTAGCAGGAATTAATTCTAAATTTTCAATTTTTCGTTAATATCAGGGCATCTTGTATCATGACGGTAGAAAATTATCAGAGGTATTTTTATACTCGACATACGCATATACATGTTATGTAAATTTAACGTAACGTTTTAGAGAGCGCGGGTGTTGAAGCAGACGAATTTGTAAGAAGTTCTCTCGATGGCGGAACGGACCTTTTTTCGCAACTGTGTTTGGGGGGATGCTTGCAGTCGAGCGGCATGCTTCAATGGACGATGAGCTCATGCTGATACGACGAAATCCATGATGTAGCGATGAAACAAAGTTCAGAGAACGTCATGCAATGTTTACGCGTTCATACAGTCACATGCATATCTTTCTCTCTCTCAGTGTTCATTAGTTTTAAGGATTACAACAAACGTAAAGCAACGAAAAGTGGCTTGAGAATTAAACGCGCGCGATTGGTTTTTGTCGAAACTGCCGACGTCGACAAATAGAGCGGTACGACGTGAACGTGCTGAACGATTTATTGAAATGAATTTCAGCATTGGTTTCCGGGATCGATGCACACTCACCCGTTCCGCCGGTGCATTCCTCCTGGAATTGTAACAGAATTCGAAAATCGCTATGAGCACGGCGAATGCCAAGCCGCACAGTAAGACCACGAAAACTCCTCCTAGACGCAGAAACGGGGATTTCACGTTGATTCTCGAGCGGGCGCATCGATAGATAATATTAAGAAAGAAAGAAAGATTTCGATACGTACACTGAGAAAAAAAATTTGTTGAAAAACGCAAAGTTTGTTTTATTTTACCAAAATATTTAGTCCGATACGTTCGACTAAACATTACTACAATGACACAAAATAATTTGTTACTATTATAAACAAAATACTATTTTTTAACTAAACTATTTTGTTTGAACAAAAATTTATCGTATTCAACTCAACCGTTCTATTAAAAATACACA